TAGCATTTCCGCTTTATTGAAATATGACCACCACTGCCAGAATTTGATTTCGCGATCTCCAGGTAAGCAGTCAATCATTACTAACTAGATCCAGGTTGCGGCTAACCATCTGCAATAAATAACTGTTTGCTTTTTATACCATTATGAACTGTTACATACCAGTAATTTTCAGTTGAGAGCTAACGGTGATTATACAATAATATATGACGGTAAAGTTAGATGGGACCAGTGATATCTGACATCTATGTTAAGCTGCAGACTTTCTCGGCTAAAGGAGAAGATTTGGGGGGGGGGGGGAATTCTTTTTAATATGCACTAAGAAGCACCAATTTAGACATATTGGCCAATTTTTTCCAAAATAATACATTTACAAGCATATAACATATAGTCTATCTATGCGATGAAATTTTTTTCAGTACTGCAAGTCAGTTGAAAGATTCTACAAGGAAAGAACCTTTTGTTGGACTAGTTGGGACACATATTTACAAAACGCCATTCTATCTTATCACTACTCCCATTCGAAGCTTGTGAAACAGGGTATTGCATGGCTGTCTCGAATTCACCCCCCAGAAAAGTCGCGTCCGTATGCTGCAGTCAGGTTTCTGCGACAGTGAGGCACCATGCCAACGACAATGCGGCTATGCTCACATGTATACCCGCATGCCCACGCATGCACAAGTCAGTCTAAACAAAGTGGCATTGTGGCGAAGATGTCTGGCCGTGAGAATGCTCCTGGCACCGCACCAATTTTCTAGAGAAATATGGTGGCTTACTAAAATACCAAAACGTTCGGTAATCAGATAGGAAGTACTCAAGACAAAACAGAAAGGGGCATTCTTTTTCCAGTCCATCCTTAATGGCAAAGCGTTCTTTTTGTATTTCAGTAAGCATAAATCAACTAGACCAACAAGTTTCACACAAGCAAGCACAATGTGGTACAGTCGAACTCAGATGAATCAAATCCAAAGGGGATCATAAAAGTGTGTCATATACTAGGTAACTAAAAGTATGAAATATGAACATTCACCATAGGTTGGCTCTTCCACCACAGGAGAGAGGCTTGCCTCCCCATGCCTGGCTTTTCTAAACCGCACAGCCCATTTTTCCTCACCACCAGAAGTAGTTGCCTGCTTGCGCCCTCTGTTTTCATTGTAGTGCATCGCAGCAATTATCACTCTGCGAAAAAGAAAATTTAAAGTAAAACAATGTATGTCTGCAATAAATAGTCAGTGTTTATTCATTGAGGAGACGGGCTAATATAAACCCACTTCTTGTCAACACATGCGCAACATTATCAGGCCGTCGCTTACCTAATCACACTATCGGACACATGCTTTCTACACAACATGCTTCCGACTCTTGCAGGTTGAGTGACGTTTCGCTAACACAATTAATACCCCGTTTCTTTATATGATAGGCCTCCGAAATTTCCTGTGCTAACTTGCTTACACTTCTTCCCAGAATCCTAATCTGCGTGAAGCATGGCGTGCATCCACAGGAATTGACCTGCGTTCTTAAATGCGCACCGTTTTTATCTTTTACCGTGAGAGCCTGTGCCGTCACTCAATCATTGACGCAGCGCCCCATGTGGCAAACATAGCTCTCCCTGCACGATGGGGGTATTTCGTAATCCACTACAGTGGAACACTTCATGAACAGCCACGCTTGCTTCTTTTCGCAGCAGTTCTGTGCCCGCAAGTAGAGCATGCTGTGTTGCAAATTCCATTCTAAAGTGTATGTAAGAAACCATGAAATTAGCAATTAGACACCAGCAATAAGCCAATCTGTGAGCTATACAAATATTATTGCATGCGGCTATTAGGTGACTGCGCAACTGACTTCTTAAAACAAAAAGTTGCAATACATGCAACTGTGTAGAAAATTGATGGTACTGCAGAAAGACGGTAAGCTAATCTCAGCTCCATGCTCGGGGAAGCTGCTAAGTAAAGCACTTATGTAACAAATTACAGCCGCCTGGAGATATCTTATTTCGAGCACAGCGCGCCTTAGTACCAAAACTGCTAGACACGTTCACACGTCGTTTGCTGTCCACATTAGCCGTCCCAAGGTCCATGGCATTGAAATAAGTGCTCACATTACTCACCCCCGCCTCGGCGTCACTCATGCTACTGTTCGTCAGCTCCATTCCTTTGGCAGTCATCATTGGCGAGCACGTGCCTTCGTCACCCTGGTTGCCGTCAAGCGGCTCGGTAGTCGACGATGGCGGGCACTGTGCGTCGGAAGCGAGGGCAGCTTCGGCACTCGCCAGTGTATTACTTACAACCTAAGAATTGTTACATACGTGCGAGTATCACACAGTAATAGTCTTATATAGTGTCGGTCAAAATACATTAGAAAATACGAATAGCTCTTGTCGCCGCCGCTTATCCAACGCTGGTCGGGGCTTGCCACTGTTGCGTTGGCAGTGGCTGAATATTGAAGGCACTGCGTCAGGCTTCAACATCCTTTTCATCTGTAGCGGCATTTGGGCGAAGAGTGACCGGTCGTACACAGTCATCATCTTTGAAGTGTGACGAGCAAAGTACGGCTCTCTTTTATGGCTCCAAATCCTTTCGCCTGACTGCGATCGCCCACAGCTTTCGAAGCTTTACGCCTTTCGAAAAAACGTAAGAGCTGGTCTCGGCCGTGGCATACGTGTTCAGGCAGCCCACGGCCACGCATTTCGCTGGCATTGTGCTCCAACCTTCACTTTCTGAATCAGCTGCTCGCGGTCGGGCGTCACGCAGTTAAGAGATTTCGCGGCACCGTCACGTGGTGGTACGCTCACCATCATCCACCAGCAGCGGCGGGCTATTACCAACGTCATGTTCAGTTGTGTCCGACTTGCCTAGGCGCACCGCTAGAGCTGCACGTCGTCTGCTAGCCGGCAATCAGAGCACCGGTTATAAATTGTATTCATGACAGCTAGTAGTTTAGTGTCATTGTCATGACGTTCCGTATATGTACTACGCAATTCTGGGCGATTCCGTCATAGTCAAATTTCGTTGCAGTTAGCCTTTAAGATGCCTGCCATTATATAAAAAACAACTGTTGAGACAGCGAGAAAACGGCGCCTTTTCTTGATTTTTTAACAATATTGGACACAATTCTTCAAACACCTTGTACACATTCAGGCACGCTCTCACAGCGCCCACATTAACAGACAAGTCTGAACGGTGTCTCTAAAAAATTTGCAGACTAGGTCTGTGGGTGACTGACTGAAAGGTGAAACCCGTTTATGCATTGTTATCAAATGTGTCATGGCCAAGAGTATATAGATACATGCAAATATATTAGATACATTCTCGTGTACACACTCTGGACGCACATCTTAAGAAAACTCTGCTTGCCGTCTGCTCATCGTCTGCAGAAAATCTGCGCAGCAAATCGACAGAAAATTCGAGTCTGCAGGGATGTGACTGGGTGACTGATAGGTGACTCATGGTTGACAGAAAGGTCTAAGACATTTTTGTAAGGAATATTTAAGGCGAAACATCAATATGAAAGTGTTAAGCATTAATAAATGGCATAGATACGATATTCTAAAGACCAAAGTGTTTATTACGTTGTGCGCTGTTAATGCGACGCTATGAATGAAAAAGCGGATGTTTCTTACGCTTCGCTAAAGAAAGAAAAATTGGCCCTCTATCTGCATGTAATCTGCAAATGTCGAAAGACGATAGTCTTGTGTGTGGAGAGTGAACAAAACATTTATTTTATGTTCTGCCCAAGAAAATAGGTGAATGATATTCCGGAGGCGCTGCTTTAGAGTACCTCGAGCGTGCAGCGGAGGCGAACGAGCGCATCAAGTCCCGTCACCCGTGAGACATGAGCGCCGTCTGGCAGTTCTTTTCGGAAAACAAAGCACGTGGTCCTGAGACGGGCGTGCGCGCCCGTCTCAGAGGTGATAAGGGGAAGAACGTAAGGCGACGGGTAGGTGCGACCACCGTCTTGTCTTAGCAAAGCGTTGGAAACTCCCCGTTCCGTGCAAGCGTTGCATGGTCAGCGCAGCGTGATAAGCGCTACGCTCCTTAAAATTACCTATGTGTGCCTTTTATAGTAAAAGACGAACATGCAGAATATATATGTGTTGTTATAGTGCCTCAGATATGTGCAATAATTGTTTTTTAATTGACAATCGCACACGTATGAACGCTGATTCTTGAGCAACATTGGTGGGCGCTGCGGATTGGGTTGGCCGTTCGGGGCGTCGGCTGATGCTGTTCAGAGTACCCGATTTCTGGTGACGGTGGACAAACAGACAAATGTACAGACAGACGGACCAAAATTTTTGCGTGGAAGGTCCCCAAGAAAGACTATCATCTTTAAAAAATCACGTGCTTTAACTGAAGCGACCTGGAGATGCCACCTACCAGTGGCTATGCATTCTAAAAAAAATTCGTTTCTTCACAATACTGCCTTATGACGCCATATGTCACGCAACGCAAAAAGGCAATCGTGTTTTGACGTTCTTAGCAACAAAGCGCCGAGAGGCACGGCCATTTTTTTTTCATGTAATGGCCATCGTAGCTACCACCTTTCCTGCTACTATGGTTCGAATCTGAGGGGAAAGATGTGCTTTCCTAGACTCCAAAAATAAATTTTTTACAGGAACTAGACCAAGCTGCAGGTGATCAAACATAACTGCAAGATCAGGTGGGTTGTGGGATAGTGTAATGTTTGTTTATTTTTAATGTTTATTTCTTTGCACGGGAACGATGGCCTTTATTTGAGCTAGCCATTAAGGTATCTGAATCCTTGCTTCATGCGTCTTCGCTTACTCGGCTTGGAGCAACAGAGCGATGAAAACAGTTGGACTTTAAAATTAAAGGGAGTTTCACTTACCACTTAAGGCTGTTTTTTTTTTCGGAAGCATCGACAGATATTTGCAAATTGTGCTTTCTGCCTTATAACGGTCCAGCGCCAAAGACAGCAGTAGTAGCGTGTTGTGATCGTGATCGCCATGCCGGTGTTTCATAAGAGCTAACAAGAACAATTAATTGCTTGCTTATGTCAAATTTATTGTACAGGGGAGTTGGAAAAACTCAGGAAGTGAGTGCCATTCTGGGTGACACACGGCATAGAGTCCAAGATGCGCCTTTCTGACTGCGCTTGTCGGATCACCAGCTAAGAGACTCATTCGCACACTTGCACACGTTATCCGTAAAAGCCGTGGCCAAATCCTCCATAGCCAATTCCATATCCGCCGTATCCTCCGTAGCCCAAGCCGAGACCATAGCCGCCGAAACCGTGCTTGATGGTGGAGCCGTAGGAGAACACACGTCCGACCGGGAAACCGCGAAATCCGAATCCTCCGTAACCTCCGTAGCCTCCGTATCCACCAAATCCTCCGTAGCCGCCGTAACCGATGCCACCGTAACCACCATAAAAGCCGGCCATAGCCGTGGCCAGCAGGGCAAAGAAGACGACAACAACCTGGAGACGTGGAAACAAGTACGCAGATGGTCACGGACTGCTGCGTGTTACATGTGTTGCGCAGCGCGTGCCACCACAAGAGTGTCAACAGTGTAACACTTCGATAAATTTGAAAATGTAAAGTCGAGGGATAGTACACATTCAGCTTTCATAACATGTAGGCCCGCCTGATATGACCTTTTTGTTCTTCTATTTGTGTCTTGCTTACATAAAGTCAGGTAACACACTTTATTAAGCTAATAGTGGTGAAAGCGTGCACATCAAATACTACTCGAACTTGAGCTCATAGAGAAAAAAAAGAAAAAAAGAAACATAATGCTATAAACTCTCAGTACTCTGGACTAAAATCTGGAAAGTCTAAAAGTAGAAATGATTAGCCGTGCGAAGAAAAGCAGACGGAAGGATAAAGGCGCATTTGATTTTGCAGCGTTTCACAAAAAAGATTTTTGTAACCGCACCCTTTGTCCCGATTTCCGTCTGCGATTTCATCAGAGCATTACGTTCACACTCGGCTGTCTAAGGCTTACGGTGCACTCAGTACAATAAATAGACGAAGCGGAAGAAAATTTCTCGCCACAGATATTTAGGCAGCAGACCGTGACTATGGTCGAGTACCGTGACAGCGGTGCGCAAGCTAGTGACGCTGTGGATGGGCCTCTTTATAGTGCGCCTAAAGATATCAGGAGACTTCCGCTACTCTAATCTATTCTTGGTGCACTATGAAAGTAGCGCGCACTTGCCCGACCTATATTGTCTCTTTCTATGACTCAATCGATGACACTATCAGCAAGCAGATGGGTAAGCTGTCATATTTCTTTGCATCGTCAGATTGTCTCAGACACCAATGAAATTATTTATCTGTATTTTCTTGGAAAATTTTCGCTTGTTAGGTATACATTCGTTTACTATATATTGATTCAATCAATAACAGGACAAAAAGAAGTAAAATATATATTGCACAGACATGAATGCGGAAAGTTATGCCTAACAATGATACAAAAGGGAAGAAGAATAATGGGAACGAATGGAAATGACTCAACAACTTTTTTTAAGAAAAGTTGGCTTGCACGTACTAAGAGCAAGGGCATTACATAGAAAACAAACTACAACTCAAGGTAACTTCATCATTATGTGGGATATGCAATACCTCACCTCAAGCTTTCCGGCTAAATGTCCCAAAGAATGACTACTCACCCCTGACCAACGCAGGAGCGTAAAAGCCCTTTCCCAACATTGCTAAATGAACTAGCGAATCTCGCAGTCAAGCTCAAGCAGCCGCAAATTTGGCTAGACTGCCCAGGCCACTCGAGACATGGCACATTCTAAACCCCAATGGCATAGCAATTCATAAATAAAGAAGGCGCCAAAAACTTGAAACTAATGTGATCAGAAGCTGGGAATCAACTGAATCTGCTCGAGTGTACAGCATTCGACCACGTTCTTTCACCTAATCTGCTGTTGAGGCACGTCGAAAGAATGCCTTTTGGGATTCTTGCGTCGGCCCTCACGTTACATGGCCGAGGAGAGCTGGCCCCTCTAGACTTCAATAACGTTTTGACTCACTGACATTGTGGGAAACGTACGCAGGAGGAAGATACTTCCGGCTAGTATCGCCTAATCTGAGTGATACGAGACTTGTACTTTTATCGACAATAGCCAATAATCGTTTAAAACGATGCAAGCGCTGCACATGTGGACTCACCGTGGGCTTCATGTTTGGAGTTGCAGTGCTCCTGGTAACCGAAATGGAACTGTAGGCAAATGAGTGAACACAGAGCGTGTGTTGCACGAGCGTCGTTTTTATACATCCTGTAAGTTCCTGGGCGGGGCTTCCTGTCTTGGTGTCCGTAGTATGGCCCACGCAACGGGGTCGTTGGTGTTACGATTTCCAGCATTCCTTGGAAAGAGCAAACAGCTGCCTGCCTAATAACACTCCAGTTTTCCCGGAGTTTAGTGGGCTCAAGGAAGCGTGAAGGTTGCGCTTTTTTTTTTTTCGAGGTTGACCCGTCGTTGAGGGAGGGGGGGGGGGGGGGAGCGAAAGTGATCGCTTTGTGGGCCCGGGTGCAAGCAGCCCGAAAGGCACTGGGGCCATGCGAGCCGTGTCTCTATTGCAGTGACAGCGCATTTTTCTTTGTGCTCCTTGTGCGATTTCGCTTAATGGGCTGTAAGGCGAGTTTCCATTTGCGAAACAGAACACCCGTCATGGAGGGAGGTGACGACGTAACGGCAAGTTCGAGGTGGCTAAGTGAGGAATGCGGGCGCATATGCCATTGGGACGGTATGCGAGTTCTGTTTATGAATGCGAGCGAAAATGCGGCCCGATCGTTCATTTCGCGACCACTTTTCTTTAGATGTCACTTCCGTAGCCATCCGGACAACGTCCGTGTAGTACATTTATTGTATACAAGGAGCTTGTTGTGCGACAACAGCTACACCGTCTCAAACACTTTTCTATGTGTAACACAATTCATCTGAACAACCAAGCTTTTCTATATACTTAGAAATGCTCTTTGGTACTGCCAAGGTGACCTAGGGGTTGTTGTGCCCGACTGATGAACCAGAGGCTGCGGAATCAGATCCCTACAGCGGTGGCTGCATTTCGATGGAGCTGAAATGCTATCGGTGCACTTTTAGGCGCACCTGATAGAACACCAGATGCTAAAAATTACTGGCGCCTTCCACTACAGCTTCCCTCATCATATGGTGGTTTTGGAACGCAAAACGTTAGTCAATATTATAATACTAGAAGGGCTCTTTTTTAAATTCGATAATTTTGAAAATATCTTGACTCGTGCGTCATAAGGTCTTAGTAGGAAAACCATCGGTGTAACTTGTGACAAAATCAAGCACAACTTTATTCTTCTGACATTTCTACCTTCTTTTTTCGGCTCCATACTCGTACCGATTGTAGTCTGTGCGGAGGGATGGCATAAATAGCAATTGCTGGAATACGCAGCCGACAGTGACAAAAACTTAGACTGGGAGATGAGATGGAGAAATATACAAGCACTAAAAGAATTGAGTTCATGCAGGACTGCGTAAATTGGAGATCGTGGGGAGAAACCTTCGCCCTGCAGTGGACATGAAATAGGCTGATAATCATGAAGGAGACGTTCTCGGGGACGTGGACTGGCATGACATAGACCATTAAAAAAACAATGGTTTTGTTTTCTCCGTCCAGTCGCGCATTCTATATACAGTGAACGCAATACCTACCTCGGCTTCGGCAACTATATTTCCGGGTTTATCCCGCAGGCAGGGGCACAACACGTACTGATTTTAGCCTCCTCGGCTGTTTATAGTGTTTTAGGTAGAAAAGCGATGTCATTTTTTTTTCCTTCACTACTAGCGAAATGCTACCTCCATGGGCAGGAATTCAACCCGTGCATTCGCGCTTAGTGGCGTAATTGCATAGCTCGACTATACTGTATAAGTAGGGGAAATGCAAGGAATTTTTTCGAGGAATGTGTCTCCAGGTTATGTACGTTTCTTCGTGTGCTTGTACGTTCATATGCACATACATCCATGTAAACCATGAACGATTCGGGTGGGGGGGGAGGAGCGGCGCAGGAGAAGGTGGGGGCGGGAGGAGGTGCATGCTACGGGATTTTTCACTCGGTGTGGCACCTGCTTTTAGTTTCAAACTGCTCAGTTACGTTGTAACTAGCTTGTTTTCTCATTTAACACAATATATTCTGTTACATGCGCAACAACTCACAATGGTTAGGCACGTGCACAGAAGCTACTATGTTTATTGGTGCCAATAACAATTGGTGCTAGAAATTTCAAAAACAAAGCTCCATAAACAATGCGAACAATACCTTTAGAACTAGAAGCAAGAGTAGTGTACAAACGCATGTATCAGCCTTAACTCACGTTGCGTCTGAACAACCCTAATGTCACAATTTCTATAGAAAATTCTGCTGCAAACACTGCAAAAAGTGCGGCTAAAGCATACAATCTGTCTTGCTATCGTGAAAAGCACGAGAGGCCGTCTTTCATTTTGTTTTTGAAGGAAAGGAATTTTATTCGCATGATCGTCTTCACACAAAAAATAATCAATCCTAGTGAGAATGACCCACAAATCTGAAATGCTCCATCCAGTCGACACTCCACCATGATTCAAGGATAGGGCTTCTAGCAACGCCGCTTGACATAAGAGATTGATCGCATTCACACTCCCCAGCTGTTATTTATAGAGGTTTATATTAATTTGGTCAGTTGAAAATGACTCAGAATCTGAATCGCTGAATTTTCGAAAGAGTATTAACTTTATTCAAGCTCTAAGAAATCGGCAAAGAAGCAGCGCTTCGTGGACACACATTGTTCGCCCGCCGATCGACACAGTGATGTCTCTCGTTGTACGACTCCGGCCTCGGAATCCACCTCTTAAAGTTTATGCCGTGCTTTTATAATGCCTGTGATGATCCCATCTCGCATTCTCAATAAGCGCATCACAGTGCACCTGTACCACAGACGGGAACGATGCAGCATGAGTTTGACTGCAAAGACACGAAAAAACCAAAAGAGCACATCGTCACGCTCTGCTGAATGGCTTCATAAAGCGAAGCGAGGGCAGCGTTCTGGGGGCCTTACCCTATCACGCATGACAGCAGTGTGTACGTACACTATTGTTCTGAGTACTTATCGGCGTACTAAGGACACACTTGGAGTGGGAGTAGGCCGTATAAACACACGCCTATCTGAAACACTCCACTTTAAGAAAAAACACATTGGGCGTCCTTGAATGAATTCCGCTTCCCTTTGCCAGGGTTATTCACGCTGGCTAGCTACATCCTTCGGGGCATGTATATGCGGTCTTCTCTTCTGCGTACTCGGGTCAGCGAGAAGTAAACAGCTGAAGATCTCGCCTTAGATGATCACTTTTAACAACAGAGTTCACAGTTTGCTATCAGGTGCAACGCTATAGAAGCTAATGCGATGCTTCTTACGGTAGAGGCGTTCACACTAAGAAATGTTTCGATACGTTTCTTACAGGCCTGATAAGATTTTGTTAGACTGGGTAATAAATTAACAGTTTGTGTGCCTTCCACAAAAGTAAGCCCCACTTCCACAGCATTTTACTTGATGTATGAGACAGTGTGCAAGGCACTCCTTCCCATTTAGAGCTGAGAATTGCTTCCATGAAGACAGTTTGCTCTTTGCATTTGAATAGCTGACAACACTCATTGCAATGACAGCGCTTGTGAAGACTCATTACAACACATCTGTGATTGTTCTATCTTCAAAGCACAAACATGATGACTCGCAATCACTCTAGCTCACCTTGATCACAGACCGATGTCGGCAGGGCCATCTTATATTGTCGTCCTAAGAATACATCACGGATGATGGCATGAATGCACAGTAAAAATTTTGAAGACAGACTTGCACTGGCAGTTTTAGATAAATAGTGGTATCGCAAAGCGCGCATGACTACTGGCGGACAGTGTCACTGTGTGTGTACTTCCTGTCTCTCTCTTTTTCTTCACACTTGAAACTTTCAAACACCTTCGTCTCTCTCCCCAGCGTTGGGTAGCAAGCCAGCTATTGTTAACTGATTGATAACCCCAACAGCGCTCTCCTGGTTTTTCCTTCCATCTACTTTCATGCACATAAGGCGGTGTGGCGAAGAAACTTTAGCATTGGCTAAATGCTAACTGGTTTGCCTGTAATTGCAGTGTTTAGAAGGGCGAAAAAGCACGCGCTGAAATATAAAGAGAAGCGTAGTGCCGTAATTAAATTCACTTTGCACAGACGTGTCCAAGACTTGTGACCAGCAACTATAGAGTGAAGCTATGGCCATATAGGCACTGAAATACAGTGACTTGTCTTGTGAAAAGACATTTTTTTTATAATGTAAATGCAGTACGTATTTTATTGTGCACTGAGTTGACGAGTTTTCATTGAATATTTCAAATGGCATTGCAGATTTTATAAAGTAGGATAACTGCTGCTTCGTGAGACATATATCTTTATCCGACTGATCAATCAGCGGAGCTCATAATATACCGTTTACCGTAATCTCATTTCTCATTGATTAAATTTGAATGAAATGCTGGCGCACGTATGAGGCGCCGACTACTCTTTAAATTTTTATGATAAAACATATGACACAACAAATAAACAACCAATCGTAAAATATAAAACGATTACAAACACAAAATCGCATATGCCAAACGACACCTTCATAACTTGAAATAAAGTGCTGGAATTGCAACTAATAATGTTCCTAATAGTGTATCAGTTCGACATAAAGATCAATCTTCACACACGCGCATCCTGACTGTCAACTCGTCATAATAAGTAGGTTATATATATAGGGTCACCAATCATCCCAGAGTATGCGGGACTGTCCCGAATTTTCATTAACCGTCCCGAGTCCTGTGCCGTTCTTGACGAGATGGCTACATGTCCCAAATTCGTTCCAGACTATTCAGTGGGAAATTTTGTGATTCAAAGCGTGCCTAACAATGCACCTCACCCTAAGCCACACAATTTTTTTGTAAATCACACGCACAAAGCAATGTTGGGGCTAGCCGTGGCTACGAGAGGCTTTAGCCACTTCTGCGTGAAGAGCGACAACCTTTACGAGTACGTTATTCAGCAACAGGAAGTGCTGAAGGGCTTCATGATCCCGCACCTTTATGATTTTGGGCATAGTGGTACCACGAGGATGAAGACTTATCACCCGCTGTCCTTCTCCGTGCAGCTTGCTGTCGGCGCACTCCTTACTGGTGGGGGTGCATGAACTGTGCAGCTGCCGG